TGGGTGAAATAATGTTCCATTGTTATCCAGCATAACAGATATATTTATGTAAGAATAAAACGTGCTTTGCTTATTATTTGCATACATATTACATACTAACATACTTATTCTGACCTGTACTTATTAAAATATATAAAAGAAATAGTGATCATACTAAATTTTATTATATTGAAATTTTTGTCTTGCCGACGAATGTGTAAAACCTAGTGGTTTGAGGGATAGTGGCAATGTTTGGTAAAGATTTAACATTACAATAAATTTGTGTTTGGAGTAAATTTGAGCTCAAAAGCCTTTGGTGCAACATTATATTTAAAGTGATCAAAGATCGAACTAGTGTAATGGCATTTTGAACAAAAATCAGATCAAAATGATGTTCATTTGGAGTTTGTTTCAGGAGTTCAAAACGACTTGCGAAGCTTCGGCTGGTAAACACCTTCAAACTATCATTGGTCAATGGCCATTACATAAGTAGGTGTGCTCTGGGGCTCTGCCTTTGACGTGAAGATCTTCTCATTTCATGTGTTCAGTCTCTTGAAGTCAGAGGCGAGTAAGACATGAATACACTGGAGCTGCTTTATAGTTGAAATTGAAGTTGTAATAATAAATGAAAGCTGAAATGAAACTGTTTTTCATGTTTAATACTGTAAAGCTGCTTGCTTTAAAACAATTGAATACAAAGATCCTATTGCTGAGCTAGTGGAAACATATTCCCATCTATGATCAGATGCTTTCTGAACTGCTGTTTTCTCACCGCTGTCATTTTTGTTGTGTTTATTTTGTTATTGAGAGTAAAAGCGTGTGGCACATATTTACATGTTCAGCCAAACGCCGTTCTCAGCCGCATGGGTGGTGTCGGGATGCTTTCAAACATTATACTGATGCTCGCATATATCATACTTACTTTCTGAAGTTTTTTTTTACCGCTAAGCATGTACAGGACTGAAATGTCACATACACACTTTTTTTTTCTTCACAAAGCTGATTGTGCAGGTAGTCTGATTCAAAGCTTTATGCTGCAATTATTCTTCTATTTAATAGATTTATGATCTGCATCACCTCTTTCTGACAGATAGGAAATCAATTCAGATTTATCTCAATCAGAACGAAAAGACACACATGCTTTTCATTTAGCTTGAACTGAAATGAATTGGGTCACATCATATTTAGATACAAGTGGTAAACAAAAAAAAAAGAGGTTTTCATAATTTAGATCCTCACGGTCTCCTTTCTCTGGATTTTCAGGCATTGTAACATGGTTCTAGAGAATGTCAAAGAAATGTGGACGGAGGTGCCCAAGAGTGGCAAGGGCAAGAAGAAGTCCAAACCAGTGAACAAGGATCGGTACATCTCAAAGATGTTCCTGAGAGGCGATTCAGTCATCGTGGTGCTGAGAAACCCACTCATCACCGGGAAATAAACCTGACATGTAACACGTCTGTTCAAGTACAGGCGATCTCCTGGACACTCATTGACCGCGTTAAAGTGTTTGAGCGAATTAAGTGTTTTGCAATCGAGGAACAGTACAGTTTGCCTTGTGCTGCAAAAATTGTATTTTGATTTGAAATGTTTAGCATCATTATGAGAGATTGTCTGGTCAAAGAAAAGATACGGAAAGATGCCATTTGAACCGTTTTTGTTTAAGTTGTATAAAAATTTGCTTTTTTTCTAAATAAACTTTTGGATATTCAAACCTCTAAATCTATTGTATGATTCGTTCAGAAATGGACCGTTTACAGACAAAGCAGAAAGTGTGTTCATCAGACAAAAGTTTCACGTTGCTGTTTGTCCTCTTTACTCCACTCTCGCTGTCTGGTGCCCCTCTCATCCTCTCTGTCCCCCTCCCTCCATCCGACTCTCATTTGGTAGAGTCCCTTGGCAGCAGCTTGGGTGTCAGTTTAGATTTCAGCAGGCAGCACTCAATAAGTGACAAACTGCCGTTTAAAGCTCTCTGCATTATTAATGTGACCAGATGTGCTGACTGTCACTTCACACCCCTGCCCTCCACCGTGGGCTCCGCTGACCCCTCGTACTAAACCATTCCTCCTTGTTTTTAACTGATTTCTCTAATGTTTTTGAAAATGACAGAAATGTTTGTTTTGAAAAATTAGAATGAGCTTTCTGAAAGGGGTTTACCATGGGGGGAAAAATCTCTACATTTAATTGTGTTTTTAAAGTATATAGACAAAAGGGTTATCCCAGGACTTGACCTGAGAGGACAGTTTCAGGAAATCACTCAGTCAGGTTACTTAAATATTCAGTGGAACAGTGAAAATCTAACACTGTGTATCAGTTTGGCTTATTGTTATCCACTGGTGTCATATTTATTAAATTTATTTATTCATTTCTTTTAATGTGTTTTAATACAAAACTGGTTAAAACGAATGTAAACTGATGGAATCTGCTTGGATATGGTATATCAATTGTTAATCAGGGCTAGATTAAAATATTTAGATTTAGTCATTTTATTAATGTTTGATTAGGCAGTCATCACTATATTTATTGCTCATATATATATATATATTTTTAATTTACACTGCTGTTCAAAAGCTTGGGGTCAGTGTGTTTTATTTTAAATAGTTTAACTTTTTTGTAAGCAAATAATTATTTTATTCAGCAAGGATGCATTGAGTTCAGCAAAAGTGACAGTAAATAATTACTGTTTCAAATAAATGCTGTTCTTTTGAGCCTTATATTCATCAAAAAATGTAAAGTTCCAGTGTAAAAAAAGGTATTAAATTGTCTATAAAAAAAATCAGGATATTAGAATGATTTCTAAAGGATCATGTGAAACTAAAAACTGAAGTATTGCTGCTGAAAATTCAGCTTTGATAACATGAATAAATAAAACGTATAAAAACATGTATGTATATGTATATATATATATATATATACACACACTTGTATAACACTTGTTATATGTGAACCTGGACCACAAAACCAGTCATAAGGGTCAATTTTCTGAAATTCTGAATAAATAAGCTTTCCATTGATGTATGGTTTGTTAGGATAGGACAATATTTGGCCGAGATACAACTATTTGACAATCTGGAATCTGAGGGTGCAAAAAAATCAAAAGATTGAGAAAATCGCCTTTAAAGTTGTCCAAATGAAGTTCTTGGTAATGCATATTACTAATCAAAAATTAAGTTTTGATATATTTACAGTAGGGAATTTACAAAATATCTTCATGTAACATGATCTTTACTTAATATCCTATTTTTGGCATAAAAGAAAAATCAATAATTTTGACCCATACAATGACTATTGTTAAAAATATACCCCAGCCACTTAAGACTGGTTTTGTGCTCCAGGGTCACATATAATTGTAATAATATTTCAAAATATTACTGTTTTTATGATATTGTAAGTATTAAACTTAAGATCATAATTTCCACCACACCCTGAACAACATGAACGATACCTCAAATTGTACAGCTTTTACTTTTTTGTACAGCATCTTGAATTTATGCCTGGCGCACAATACATTTGTGAAAAATATCAGTTTCACAAAAGCTGCTTGTGATCTGAAGAGCGATCAGTGATTGAACGGTAAAGAAACATTTGAAAATGGATCACTCTACCATTTACAGTGTGTTTTAGATAATCAGTTGATG